TATAGTATTCACAATAAATAATTGACATTATGATATTAGCACGAATTACTGCAGGTAAATAAATAATGTACGTGTAATGAACACATAGAGTGGTTATATAATATATATAATATATATAATTATTCATAATAAAAATAGACATTAAAATACAAGCTGTGTCAACCACAGGTAAAGATAAGAAGCAATATTATAAATTCTGAAATACAAGTTTCATAATCTTGTTGTTTTTGAAGAACATACTGTTGATATATTTATAGGCCTACAATATAAACTTTAACTCTAGGCCTATATTTAAATTTTATATATATGCTGGCTGGCATGTTCGAGCTTCAACTTAATTTTAAATGTATCCATCTGATTCATCTAAATATACCTCTCGAAAGCTTTATTCCCGCTGATATTAAAAGTTCCAATAGCGCTTTGGATTGATAAAATAAATATTTACTGATTTGAGTTGATTTGACTATTAAATTAGGCCGCATTCTCGGGGTGAAAATCTTGTCACCTTCGCTCCCGCTAAACCGGTCTACAAATCGGACTATCAATATTCGTGCAATCAATATGTCAACAAAGTTCTCCAATATAATTTGCCAATTTAATAGTTCAAGCTCGAAATAGGCTAGAAATCGATGACTTATTTCTTTATAGTGCGGAGCCATATTTGCGTAGATGTGAGATGGATCCTGCGCAGCTATTTAAAATTTGGCCAATCAGCGGTCGCGCTTGCGGGGTTGCGGTCAAAAATTCTGGGGTCAAGTGCCAGGTCATAGCATTTGTAAACAAAACCATGTGCACGATTTACCTTGCAAATTGCTCGCGGTCGGGAAGAACAGAGATGAAATTAACCCAAAAAACGTCCCATCGGTGTAGAGAAGTGGTGTATTAGAGCAACAAAAGGTATTTTGATCACGCACTGACATAAAATGTGGCAGTAAGTCAGTTTTTTTCGACACTGATTAAGGATATTGGACCGGTCGATTTCACCAGAAAAATGCCTTAATATCAAGGAGATTACAGAGAATACAAGGTCGCTGCTTCTAAAAGTGTAATTCTAATAAAATCATTCATTTTACGTAACAACATACATCTACTTAAAACCTGTCTAGCCTGCTGTCTTAATAATTATCATGGATAGGCTAGTGTATAGCTAATGTATAAGCTTACAATAGATATATGAATTCAAATAACACTTGACTGTAATTAAAAGTTGTCAAATTTCATTCTCATATAGAAAAATGGGTTTTGTCTGCAATTGCGAATAAACCAGATGCCCCCCCCCCTCATCAATATTGGGCTCACCTACGACATAGTGTACATGTAATCATCGATAAAAGTGCCAAACACATTTTCAATGTCCGAATCTTGCTTCTGATTAATAAAAATTCTGATTTCTTTAAACAATTATAACAGATACTGTACATGTAGTCGGTCAAATCCAAAACTAATTACCTTTGATTTGAAAAATATTTTTGATCACCTAAGATAAATAAAATACAATTTAATAGAGGATTTCCACTAAGAGTAAGACACTAACTCATTTAGTAGTTAGAATAAGGCTACCGGTATTTGTTTCACTGGACTTATCAAAGCAGCAAAAGTGCTATTGGTGCTTTAAATAAAATAATAAAAATGCTGTTTTTATTTCGCACTGGACTAAATTGTCCCTCTTTTGTGTGGCCCCCGCTCGAACATACTTGGATTTTTTCTTGAAAATTATACAGATCTCTAATAAAACTGACTTCTTTAACTCTGATGAAGTAGTAACAAGTACTACACTATGATGTGATTCCTTTGGTTAGATTAATTAAGGAGTAGGGGTGAATGAGACACACTTTTAGTTTTTAAAGTTGTTAAATACTAGGCCTAGTAGTAGGGGTTATGGACATAAAGGCCCTAAACCAAAATGGCTCAAGTATTTGGTCATAACGGTCAAACATTTTGGTCATAACTACATAACGGCCAAAACATTAGGGTCATAATGGCCAAAAAAAAACCATTTGAATTTTGATATTTATGTATCAAATGATATTTATTAATATAAATATTGCATAATATAAATACCAATATTTCTTTATAGATAATATATTCATATACGTTATTTAATACATAAATTTAAATACACTGTAGACATTTATACTTAATTCACTGTATAACTATAACATACATAATTTACAAAGACATCTATTTAATATGGAGGGTGGGTGGCGAATGGTTTAACATGTACACATGAAATCATAAGGTCTGTCATTGCGTCAAGTCACGTAGTTTCAATTCTCCGCTTGTACGTAACAAGGACTAGGGTCACTTGTTCAACCTTGTGGGTTTTCTCCGAGTCCCCCAGTTTCCTCCCTCTGATACAGACCCTTACACGCAAGCGAATTATTTAAATAAAAAGGAACCGTATGTTCGACCCCAAAATGACCTACTTTGTGTCGACTGGACATTAATGTTCAGCTCATGTTACTTTATCAGTGGGGTGTGAAGGACTTAATTAGGGATTATCAAAAACTTTGATTAATTAGTATTCCCGTCTTTCCTTTGAATCACAGCATGCAATGTTCTGGGTTGACTTGGATGGTTATATTCAATTCTTTCATTCACAAATTTTTCTGGACTTATGGTCTGTAGCCTATGATGCACCTTTATTACATTTATTTATTGCTTCTACTAGTTGGAATAGAAGTGGTCATATCTTGTTGAAGGTTCAGTGAAACCGTTTTTAAAATAGGCCTATGATGTTATGAGTGAATTGTTATTTTTGTCGAATGATTAATATACTAATAGTCAGTTGTTATAATGTTTTGTTCTTAAAACATCTATAAAACGTTGGGTGAAATCCAAAATCACTGCCGACTGTATCTTCAGTATAATATCCTTCGTAATAAATCCATTTGTATAGAAAAATGCTGCAATGGATTGGTCATTTCCATCCAATTGAAACCAGTCTATAGCTACCTCACGATATTTGTCTCACCTTATTTTGTGTTTGTAAAGGGTTCTGCACCTCCCTTATTAACACTGTCTAAGTGAACAATACAAGTTACTTGAGCCTTTGTCTCCATTTCGTGTAGCTTCTACATGTACAACTGCAATGTGCTCCTCGTGAAGCACGCCATTTTGTGTTTACCAACAACAGACGCGAATGTAGACAATAACGTGATTGGTCGATTGTGGAAAAAACGATCACGTGACGCGGCGAACAACGCTGAATTCTGCCAAGTGACCTCGCACACTATGAATTTTACTATCAATAAATAGTCCGGATTTCAAAGAAGAATATCACCGAAGAACTATGAAATTTTTTAGAGAAAATTACAAAAAACGAATATCTCTATGTGAACTATACACTGACAAAATTTCTTCTAGACCGGATTTGCAGGAACGAAAATATTTTTGCAACGACAATTTGTGCCCATGGAATGCGGCCTATATCTGCAGTTACTTCGGCCATGTTTAATGTGGGATTTGACTTTAGACAAATATATCATATTATAGGCCTAAACTCTATTCATGGAAATTAAAAGGCGCCATTGAAAAATACCTTACAACTCTAAGTTTGTCAGCGTTTAATCACTATATCATTAACAATTTTATTGAGAATTATATTTTTGATCCAAATCAAAGGGTTGTTGTCAATTGTTGTGACAATTGGTTATTTCAGTGATAAAAGGCAAATAAAATGGGGTTTAACGTCTTACTTTTCTGCATTAACAGGGCACGCTATGCAGGGTGCTATAGAACAAATTTTACCCGGGCAGCGTTTCCGCCGACTCTTCAACGAATTCCAACTGTCGGGTCCATCAGCATACTCACTCAGCCCCAATTTCTGTCTGAATAGGGGATAAAACAGTTACATAAACGTGAAAAATAGAGATCTGCCGATCTGGACCTTTCTAAATCGTCAGGTTGCTTAAACCTGGTAGTTAATTTCCACTGATTGTATTCCATCATGTATAATGATGTTGGAATATTTGAAGTCATCGACAGCAGGCACATTTTCATTGCTGCTATTATTTGATTTTCTTAAAACTTAATTTTAATCCCCGAACTAAGGCATATCATCATCATCATCATCATTAAATTTTTAACTTAATTTTAACACCCAATCCCCTGATCTAGTACTTGGAAATGGTTTAGTAATCGACAATGTTTGACCCCCCCCCCCAACACACACACACACACACACACCCCAATCCCATCACTGGAGTAGGTATAGCGGTTTGATTGAAAGAAGCCCGGTAAATGTCATTGGAAATAAAGCGCGCCCTTTGCCTCCATGCACTCGTATGAAACTTATTTCATCCAACCATGTGTTATACTAAATATTGTCCCCTGTCGTTCATAGAAAGCAGGCGGCTATTAAAATGGGCCAGTCCGTCCGTCTAACTGTCACGTCCATTGAAACACCGTGCTTCTAATTGAGGTGTGCAAACTTGATGTAGATGGTCATTGGTCTTGACTGAGTTTTGAGATGAACAATTTTTGCTGAGACTAGGCAGCTAGATAGAGCCAAATTGATTTCTTGATACACTGGACCACGGTAACTGGGATTCTAGTTTAGTAAGTGAAATGGAATGAAAATAATGGGGTTTCTGTGTCGACCGGGTTAATGGCGACGCACATACACCATACAGTGTGCTGTGAGGGACATTTTTCCCGGAGAGCGGCACTGGAGCCTACTCTTATTTCGAATTCAAATGTGCACGCCAATAATGTTGACACGGGAAGTCCGTTTTTCGCCCAATCCGAACGACTATACGTTGTCCCTTCCAAGGCCCTACGTCCTACACCACTGACAAGGGAGAACCACGCCGGATAATCCCAATGAACTAACTGAGTAAGAGTGTCGAAACTTGCCGTAGAGTATTATTACACCAATACGTTGCCTTTTTATAACTAAAACCATCTATATATTTTTATATTTACTTATTTTGTCGTTACTGAAACTTTTGTCATGTATTCTAAAATTGTGTAATCAAGTTTAATTTTATATTTTTCAGCATTTGTGCTGATTGTGGTGGTTGTTATGACCGGGTTGCTGGTATTTCAAAGTCGCATCGACTTAACGCAGATGTATCCAAGTCGATTTACTGTCATCATGCAACAGCGTTTTAACCATTCCATAAAAGATGACCCAAAGTTAACAACAACGAAGGGAAATAACTCTCATGAAACTGGAAACTCTGAAAAATCTAAAACTACGATCTCTCCTCGTCGTGCGAGTACAATTACTATCGTTAAGGGTGGCCTTACAAAAGTAGTGATAGCAAACTCTACGATAAATAAGCTTACATCTAAGATTACAATGACTACAACAACGACTAAAGTGACGCCTATTGTTACACCAAACGTTACAATTATCGTTACGTCAAGCACCAAACCAATTGTTCCAACTACTATGGCAAAAACAATGACGTCCAGCATTACAACTACTTATAAAGTGACACCTAACCTTACGTCCAACGTTAAACCTACAAATGGGACGATCGTAACATCAACAGTGCCGAACGTAGCGTCCAGTGTTAGAACGAGTACACCTGCTAAAGTAAAAAAGAAAACGTATGTTTGTAAGCAAATTGGTGCTCGTCTCGGAAACCAAATGTACATGTTCGCTACTTCTTATGGAACCGCAAGACGGAATAACATGACGTTAGTGATGAAAAACGATGCAACGTTGAGGGCAACTTTTAACATAGAGGGAGCCTATAATACAAATTGGACCTTGTGCAAGGACGCTACAACCATTAGCGAACCTTCATGTTGTCGTGCGTGGCCAAATATTTATAATGTTTCAAACGAAAAGACAGTTATATTGGGTGGATATCTTCAAAGTTATAAATATTTTGATGACCACAGGGACGAAGTCCGTAAATACTTGACATTTAGAAATAACGTCCTAAACGAAGCAAATAATAAATTAACCGATCTATTTAAAAAGCGATATCCCGGTCAAAATAAAGAGAAGCGGACTTTAATAGGTGTACATATTCGACGTGGGGACTATTTATCATCCAATAGTATAAAGTTTGGTTACGTCACGGCACCAAAGGAATACATTTTCCGTGCGCAGAAATACATGGAGACTAAATATTCTAATATAACTTACTTTGTTTGCTCAAATGACCTCGCGTGGACAAATGATGTGTTCAAAGGTCAAACAGACGCTATTATAGTTCCTATAGGACCAGCTCACGTGGATCTTGCTCTTCTCTCGCTCATGGATCACATGATCATGACTGTTGGAACATATGGATTCTGGGCGTCGTGGTTTGTGAATGGTACGACTATTTACTTAAAAGATTTTACTAAACCTGGTTCGAATTTTGGTAATCAATTTGATAAAGACCATTTGGATACCATACCTCCATCTTGGATTGGCTTATAAAACTTGTTGTGACTTCTTGCCATTTTAGTGTGTGCCTTACGGTGATTACAGGTATTTGCAAATACTAAAATAACAAACTGAATAGCGGAGTTGGCCGAAATACCCCGACCGATATCTTAAATCATTCCGTTTCAATGAAATTTCATGGAAATCTACTGTAAATCCAGGCTACATTACAAATTTAAAATGAATGAAGCGCAGTTGGTTCTGAGACTAACATATGGTTATATTTTACTTTAGATACGTGTTAAATGCGTGAAAGGTTCGTGTAGACTGGGTGTTTCGCTTACCCTTTGTGAAACTCACAAAACCCGTATTTGAAGCTAGGATGTTCAAAATTTCAGTAGCACGGCCAATGTTTGCCAGGGTCAATTAATTATTGAAAATCCAAGCATTTATGTATCACAAGGTTTCACAAACTCCTGGAAAATCTCTTAGAAATAAAGTGAAAGTAAACAAAATGTAAAATATCTTAGCCAAGGCGTGACTGTTTTTTTATCCGATTTTGCATACAAAATCACGTTAGTGAAAATTTTATTGTGTATGGGTTTGAGAGACTTGTTTATATTGCCCTTAAATATTCCAGTGTTATTACAATATAATTGTATTATAGTGAGTGAACATTTTATTGTGTGTATGAGTATAATTAATGATTTATCTAATTTATCTTGCCTTCAAACATTCCTTCAATATAAATGCAACCTGTGAAAATGTTGATTGTATGTGTGTAAGGGACTTGATGATACTATCTAATTTATCTTGACTTGAACGTTCCAATGATGTTATCGTAGATCTACATGTAGATCCGAAGTATCACGTTATGATTTGAAGCCTTACATAATAGTCTCAACCACCACATTCCAGATTGTATCCGCATCAACAATAACAGATAATTAAAATACAGAACTGACGTCATCTTTTGATGTTGGCGTACCATTATTTCACATAATGGTACGGGCAATGTGCCAAGCGTACATTATTTATACTAGTTGAAATATTGAAATGCACGTGCTGGATAATGGCTTTATTTTAAGTTGTTTAATGGTCTCGTGTAAGACATTGCGTAACAATAGATATAGCCCTCGTGCTAAGCGCACACGTGCAATATCAATCTTAATGTCTCGCACTCGATCATTACACTACGCATATTTTAGTCAAAGACATACAGTTTGACTGCAACAATTAAGATGTATTGCAGACTGGAAAATAGGGACACTGTCGCATTTTTGATTTGAAAGTTGTTGGTTCAAGTGTTGATCTATAAATTCGCAATATAAAAATAAAAAATTTAAAACAAACCTATGTAAACCTTTCGTACGTTTTTACTTTGTGTGTATCATATTGTGAAGCGCTTCTGCACACTGTTGTGGAAATGGCGCTATAGAAATGTATGTATAATAAACAATGTAAAATAATAATAACAGCGTAAACGATCCCTTGCCAGTTAGAATTCGATATTAGACTAGACCGTAGCACCGGTGTCCGGGCAAAAATTCCCTCACAGGAAAATGTAAGGAGCATGCCCGTCATCATTAGGCGATTCGGAGTAGAAGGACGTTAAACCTCATTTCATTTCATCTCATTTTAGTTTACATTAGCCTACATGTAATATTCCCGTGTTTACTAATATTTGTGTGCGTATTGGTTTGAAGTGGGACAATAATCTACTAAAATCAAAGTCTTTAGTTAATTTCTTTCAGGCATATATTCAGGAATGAGGAGTCTACGAGTTAGCATTGTATGTAAAGTTCCCTGATCATAGAATTTAAGATATTCCCCAAGCAAAGTCCCTCCACTCCGTGATTTAAAATCAAGCTTTTAACACTAGCAGGAAACGAACTAGCAGAACTTGTTTATACAGGAAAAGATGGTACGATGTAGGCCTACACTAGGTTTATTACCAATATGAAATGAGAAGGGTTTTAACTTCTTACTTGTCTGCATCTACCAGAACTAATGAAGACCGTCATACGCCATAAAGTGTACTTTGTTGGAGAACTTTTGGGTTGTGTCCTATATCGAATTCCAACTGTACGGTCGCAGCAGCGCAGTAAGGACGCAACCCGGTCTGACGGGGGCATTATGAACGAGAAAACGCTCTAGATTTAGACACCGAGGAGTGGCACCGGTGTAAAAAGTCTACTTAAACCAGGTCATGGAAGTTACTGGTGACAGAATAAATGCCAATAAAACGAAGTAAGATTAATTGATTCTGAATATTATGGAAATATTAATTTGGCCGTGAAATCTTTTCTGGAAGCCATCCGTGGAAATTAAGGCCGGATTGACCTTGCGTGGGGCTTTTCCATCAACAGTGAAATGCGGACATATTTTGGTCATTTTCCGCCACATACACAAATGCATTTGTATGTCAGTATGGGTGAGGGATCGATTTGTTTGGCACATTCAGGGACGGACTTGGCATCGACCAGCCAGAAGTGTATGGGGGCACCAGAAGGGTCCGGGATCCAGTTCGTCCGAGGGCCTCAATGGCATCAATCTTCGTTTCCACTGAAATTTATAATGGCCTCAAAGCGAGGAAAAAATGATCCATGAGTGCGGTGCAGAACTAGTGAATCAAACTAGTTTCATTTTTTCATCATGCCACGCATTCTTCACGGCGATGGGCCCCAACGAAACCAGTTGGTCCTAGGATCCAGAGCTACCCAGTCCGCCCCTGACAATTTAAATACAGGGCTAAATGCGGAATTGTGATTATAATTTTGTTTAAACTGCAAAGTTTTTCAAATCGAACCCCCAAATCAGAGAACATTATAGATACTAGCTATAATCAGTCAATCATTGTTAACTGGTTTCCTGTGACAATGAGGCGGATTGATAGATGGTACATGTAGTATCTCTAGAAATAGTTGGAACAAGGGAAGGGCAGCAGGAAAATAGGGCACAATATTTTCATTAGGGAAATGGGAAAATGATGACATTGACCTGGGCATTTTCTTGAGCATATGAGGTAACTCTTTCGATGGCACTTTTCAGAGGAAAGGGAAAATAGCCCCCCCCCCCCCATACCCTGGTAGGTAATTTTATCAGATTTTAGCATTACGGACCATTTCCAGTTTCTTTACGAGAGCAGCCTACCCTGCCCAAAACCAGCACGCCTCTGGTTTTAGCACCCACTAGATTCATCATGTTTAATAACCGAAATGCTTATATATTAATCCCAATATCGGAAAATTAAAATCGAAAGTGCAATTTTGTGGGATCTGATTCCAGTCAGCGAAATTCTTTCCTGTTTTTCTTGTTTTTCCACCTTCGCTAATTCATTATTTTTTTTATAAACAATTATTTTATTTCATTTTAATTTGGATCGAGGAACAGACCAGGCCTACGTTGATCCATCGTTAATCGATTGATTTATTTATTAGCGTATATCGACATTGGTTGCCATAAATAGGGTTTAGATGCATAATTGTCTTATTGTGATTTTAGACTAAGTCAAGCGTTTAAACATACATTATGCAAGAGCTAAATTTGCCGCAGGTCCTTCTTTAGGCCTGAAATGTTATCTAAATTATCAATTAGACATTAATTAACTACCAGACAATAATCAACTCTCGATGTCATCGCTAGCCTGCTATATTTACTGGATTATAATCCGATCTGCCGCTCAACGCTCATTCATGATTAAATCAAAAAATGTTTTTTATCGTACCAACTTTAGTAATGATGATCGATCAAAGCTAGGCCCAAAATACAATCGTTAAATTCTCGGTTCAGAGTGGATCAATTTGACTGAAATTGTCAGCAAATTCCCTTTATATTATTTAGTTTTTGACAATTATCTGATCTCCCAAAACGTATCTTTAATAGATGCCATAAAGCATTTTTTAATTCTGTTTAGTGATCTTACATGAGCCTCTTTTGGACATTTTTAACAGTGGATGTTTATACTGAAGACACCTGGATATCTTAAAGGATTGATTATCTATATGGAAGGTGCAAAGGTCGAATAGTATGGTACATTCCCGATTAATTATTTTTTTAATTTCGATTTTATTAAAGCATATTTATGGGCACATATCATTTTAATATGCATGAATATTGATTTTTGTCATTATCACCAGTATATAGATTAACAGCGTTCATTGCGCTGGTTTTCTCATCGATTTTGAAAATAATGAACTGTAAAAAACAACTAACTGTGAAAATAGTTTATAATGTAGAGACTATTGTAAAATGATGAAGTGTGTGTTGATGTTCTGAAGATTTGATTCATAAAGGTAAATTTTGTTCTTTTTTTCTTTTTATCGTTTTTACGAAGTGGTCAACTCGCCCATATGTCAACTGCTCTATCCAATTTAGAAGTCAAGTTCTCTATAATTATTTTTGAAATGATAATTTTCATCTATAAAGATGTATGAAGTTTAATACAAAGCGAAGAATTATACGGATCCTGATGGAAATCTTCAGAGACACATACTTGAAGTAGCATATTAATAAACATGCAACGGTCCGCCGTACATTTCAACATAACCAACTTCTTAAATCTGTTATCGTTCCATCTCAAAACCTGGCGGACAATACAACTTAAAAGCTGTTAATGCGATTCTATACCAAAACGTCAACGAGAGAGAAAGACTAGTAATTATAAAAACTTTTGCACTACATTCGTAGGAATTAATTGTGTCCTATATCTTATATACAACAACATTTAGGGTTTTTAGGACAAAGTAAAACATGACTCTTTTTAAAAATCGCCTTTGTGACGTTCCCTGCCAGGTGTATAGAGATTTAACGCAGATCATAGTAGTTCCTGGACAGAAAATTAAGAATTAAAGCAAAAAAAAAAAATAATAAATAAATAAAAAAAAAACCAAAAAAAAAATCAAACAAAAAGACCGAAATCCTTTTAGGTAATTATAGTCTGTACCTGGAGGCAAACTTTGGATTGTAAAATATTTTTAAAAAATATACCATTTTTATTCGCTATTAAATAAAAACTATTTGATGATAACCCCCCCCCCCCCACACACACACACACACACACACACACACCCACACACTCACATCCGAGGACGTTACAAGTGTATATCAATAATATAAATTGAGTGGGATCAATACTCTATATCCGAGAACAGATCCCCTTTGACCGCATGATCAGCCCACTGAAAGAATATATTTTTTTATTGATTCAGCCACATAAAACTTTTAATTTTCTAAACCAGTCTGACTGAGGTCGTACAGACTGTATGTGAACAATCGAGGACTTGTGTTCTTGACACTTATTGTGGTCTTTAACCCGTAAATAACTACGTTTTTGTTCTCCCTTTGATCACACATGGGAAAAAAGACAACATAACCGTTATAATTGATTTGCGGTGCAATATCGCGATAGAAGAGGTTTTTTTTTATTAAAGATACATTATGGGAGATAAGATAAAGAGATGGCAGTTCTCGCTATAATAGTTAAAAACTAGATAGTGTAAAGGTAATTTGCTGGAAATTTCAGTCAAATTGATCCACTATGAGCCGAGAAAGAAGCGGGTGAAATTTTTGCATAGTCTCGGTCATCATTACTAAAATCATTAATATAAACAGCATAGTCTCGATTATCCACTTTTTGTGATTTAATTATCAATAGCCGTTAGCGGCATATATGAATCTAATCCAGCCAACATCGAAGGCTGGCCTTGACATCGAGAGTTTATTATGGTCTGGATAAGTTAATTAATGTCTAATTGATAATTTAGATAACATTTCAGGCCTAAAGAAAGACTTGTAATAAGCAGATTTTGCTCTTACATAATGCATGTTTAACGTACATTATCTTTTAATACGGACAAATGGGGACTTTGTGTATGGTGAACACCAACAACCGAGTACACACACACTCACATCCGAGGATGTATATCAAAAATATAAATTGAGTGGGCTCAACACTCTATATTCGAGGACAGGCCCCCTTTGTCCACAGGAGTAGCTCATTGAAAGAATTTTTTTTTAATTGATTCAACCACTGAAACTTCTAATTTCCGGAACCAATATAAGTGAGGTCTTACAGTCTGTATTTGAACAATCGATGACTCGCACACAATCGAATACATGGGAATCTGGATCTCTAATATGTAATTCCAAAATTTACATTGCGGCAGTAACATAATTCATCATCAGCATCACCATTAACATTATCATCGTCATTATCAGTTTGTAATGGTCTGAAAATGATTGGAGTAGTAAAAGAAAGGCTGGGGGCGTTGGGTGAGGGTACACGAGACAATTATAAACTCTAGTTAACTCTATATTATTAATTAAGGAATTATTTGGTAAATGAGACCAGAAGGACAGTGAACTGAAACGGAGGGGAAACGGAGGGAAGACGGGAGAGCGCAGCGATGGTAAATGGGGAAATTTAAAGTCAATATCTTAAAATAAAACCGTTTAAGATATTAACTTGAGCTTTTAAAGTACTAACATTTTCAAATTTCAACTTGAACTTAATCTTGTAAGATATTAACGTAAACCTTTAAGATATGAAAGATACATTCCCACGAAAGTATTTATAGGGTAGTTATTTCCAATAGAAGTATATCAAATTTGGTATATGAACGTAGAGACGCCCAGTCTTACTAGAAAAATATTGGATGGGGCAGGCACTGGACAAGAATGTCAGGGTATTACTTACTGTTAGTCCGACGGTTTATTGTCTGCCAGATTAACTTAGGAAGTTGTTATTATTTCTTAATCAAACAGTTAACTGGTATTTGGAACATTGAGTGGCTTAAACCATCATGATGAGATGGCAACGTTATATGTTTTATATTGATGTTCAAACGAACACGTCATGTGATCAGTTATTTGTGTATAAAACAAATGATAACCTCCATTGTTCAATAGTCTAATTGTGGGAAGTATCCTTGCGTTAAAAAGAAATAATTATTGGGGGGTTCTCGCTGTAAATAGTATGCATCAATTGTGTTTGGAAATAAAATCAGTAACTTTTATGTGGTCGTTAATTTTAGATCTAAAGGTTTTAGCTATCAACTTCTTGTCGACATGTTGCTTTCATTTTTGTCCCGGAAATAATATTTTATATTGGTGCTTTAGTGTTTAAATCCTTGCTCGTGATTGGTTATTCAAGATAAACGTGGCTTATGGGTCGATTATGTTCATGTATGAGGAAAAGTCTAACAACATCAATGCAGAAACCGATATAAATATGTCTTCACATTTAGAAACAAAATTCATTATCGGCTTAAATCGATATTTGCATCCTCAACGGGGACACGGTGGCTAAGTGGGTAAGACGCTGGCTCGCTTGCCTGGAGGTCGTCGGGTGTTCGATCCCTGCATTGGTCGAGAAAATTCAGCCAGATTTTCCGGCTTTATTCCCCTTGTCCGTGATGCAGGACGGAGGGCCTGACAAGGACAGCTGTCTTGTCGTTCGGAGGTCCCGTGTACACATTGGCGTGCACGTGAAAGATCCCTTGTGACAGTTGGAATTCGATATAAGATCAGGAAGTAGTGCCCCTGCCCACGCAAAATTTCCCTCATAGCACACTGTATGGCGTATGCCTGTCTTCATTAGCACAGTTCGGAGCAGAGTAGGACGTTAAACCCTATTTCATTTCACCTAAATCCGGAATAAGACTTTATTCTGAGTTCAATTCAGATTAAACCCCCAGTGTGAACGCGCCTTTATACTCCACAACGTGGCAAAATTGTGGCAAAAATTATAACACATTTTTGCCACGTTTGAACAAAATTGCCGAACGAGGCATTCTGAGGTTTACAGTGTTAATTTAAACTTTTAAGAACTTAACTTTTTAAGAGATTAAATTTTCTCCCGATGGGTCCCGATGTTTTTGCCCAAAGAAACGAAGTAGTCCCGTCAGAAATAGAACTTATTAAGCATCGGGAGTGGTCTGGTGAATGTGCACTGATGCTTAGGCTATGGTCACAATCTTCCGGGAATGCCCCGCCCCGAGCAATTGCCATGAATCATCGAGGATGGCTCCCAATAACCGGGAAAGCTCCGGGGTACCTTTGCCGATAATCAAAATCATCGGGTGAATATTCATGTCGGGAGATCTCAATCGGCGACACATATGCCAAGGTCCTACTGGGCATTTTTTGCATCGGCGATATACTACCGACTGAAATTGATGATCCCCCGAGGCGCCCGGTGTGAAGGGAAAGTTTCGGGGTCATCATGAGCAATGTTGAACCATTAGGAGGACTCAGGAGAACTGCAAAAAATTTCAAAGCTGGCATTGGAATTTCTTCCGATGTGTTCCCGACGTTTTGTCTGGAAAACAGGCCGGGAGGGCATGCCGGCAGCTTTCCATATCGACGGGGAAGCTCCGGAGATGCTTCTCTGGAGCAGTGAAGCTTCAGCGAAATATTTTGCTTCAAATATACTCAAAGGTCGCCTGATAAGTCAGCAAGACATCGCCGATGCTTCGGAGTAGTCGCGGGCCATATGAAACCATCGGGAAGCCTGGGGATAACTGCGATAAATTTCAAAGCTAGTATTGAAAATTTGCCCGATGTTTACCCGACGGGGAGGCTCCGAGATTCTTCCTTGAAGAATACTTTTTCCCCGAGGCATCCCCGATTCAAATATCCTCAAAGGTCCTCTGATACATCAGCAAGACATCGGTCATGCCCCGGAGCATATTTCGCGGAAGCTCCAGGGAAGCATCCCCGGAATGTCCTTGTGAATCTGGAAAGCTCTGGGGATGCCTCCCGATCTATTTTCCTGACAATGAAAACATTGAAACTTTTCGCAGTTCTTCCGTGACCTCTGTAGCACCATGGACCTTCTGTCAGACGTGGAGAGCGGGAGATCCTAATCGATCGCCACATCCTACGTACGACCCATGCATCTTTTCTTACTACATATCTTAGTAGCCTTGTTATCGTCCAGAATTTGCCTCTAGCTGTCTTTACTTCTGCTTCACGTTGTGTATTTACTTCTTACTGTTTTCTTAAGACGTTTGTCTTCTCAGTAGTTATAACAATGCAACTGTTCGTTTTTACATTTTATATATCAAGCTGGATACATATAAGCATTAGTATAGATTACAATACTAAAGTCAATCTCAAACCCTAGCCAGCCAGACTCGATATGGGCGAGTCTGCTGAATAGAAACTTCTACATCTTTTCACTTCTAGAACCAAGCTGCTGTCTAACGAATTCTCACAAATATGATAGTTTTGTAGCTTTTGGCTTTGGATCTTCAATTATCTAATTGGTCAAATATGATGTAAATAATTACAGAGATTGGTCAAATAAGCCAAATGATGCAATCGTAAATTTCCGTCACATGTTTTTCGACACAATCTATCCTTGAACTTAAAACCCCTTTCCTGTTATTCTCACGCTATTTCACAAACAATTAATTTGCGTTTTAAATAAACTCATACCATAGCTACTATACTGACAATAGAGAATAAATTGTAAAGATAAAATATGTTGTTTAACCGATCTTATTTCTCTATTCCTTGTCTATAAATTTAAAAACAATGTCGCAACGATGATAGTGCTACACCTCCCGATGGGTCCACGTGGCTCGCGATGCCCCAGGAGCTCCCCTAGGACACCTGAAAACCTGTTCCCGACGCTTTATATCTTTAGTACATCGGCAAGGCAAAAATTGCCCATTGGTACCTACGCATTATATAACACGACTTGAAATTGCGCGACTTATTAATATTTCAACTGTTGATTACTCATTATTTTATCTTTATGATTTCGGCAATAATCTTATATGTTACGCCAGGTAAAAATAAGTAATATAAGTTACGCCAGAAGTAATATAATGACTAGATGGCTAGATTTTTAATATCGTGCGGGTTTAAAACGGTTAAGTTTAGATATGGTATAAATAATAACTTATTTCTCCCACGTGACCATATATGATGTGTATGGTAGACATCGGTTAACTGAGAACTTGATACACTCCGTGTCCAATAAAAACTCACTGCGGACTTGATACACATAATCATATTTTTCCCTTTTCAGATCACACACACGAAAGATACACCCCAACTGTAGAATACCGCTTAACGCGGATCACCTCAGATCGACCTTAAAATCAAATGGGATATTAAATCCGGGCGTCTGAACATCGTTACAGTCCTAGATTTAGTTCAAAAAGTCCTGGGTTGAACCGAGGACGTCCTCGGTTGACACAGGTCCGTGATTAGAAGGTGTGTATTCAGATGTGTGTCCTCGATATACACCATATACACCCACACCGACGCACACACAAATCCAACACAACCTACCAAACCAAACAAAGTACGTTTTAACATGTATATGCATTATTTTTTTCTAGGCGCAATTTCAAGGAAACAATTCATCGACAGCTGATAAACTGTAAAACTACTTCATAAAGTAGAAGTTAAACAAGACGGTGTTGTCGCTTCATAGAAAGAAATTTGATAGTTGTAAAATGACCTTGTTGACAAAGAAGATCTTTCGCAACATTAGACCAGTATTGTCGAAGTTCAGTAAGTATTTAAGGGGGTTTAACGTCCACTCGCCACAAACTAGGCTTAATTTTATTTTAATAATTACCTTGAGCATCTTTAGCAGTGGGAGAAAACCGGAGGACCCAGAGAAAACCCACGAGGTTGGACAAGCGACCCTACCCCTTGTCACGTACACCACGCCAGTTGACTCAATGACAAACCGTATGATACAGCGGGCACGTGCTAGCCATTCGGCCATCCACCCCTTTCCATCCCGGAGTTAACTCCCTCCCCTTTTGCCGAAAACCTTTGGAACATAGAGGCTACAGATTTTAATATAATATTATGGCTGCTCTGTGGACGTATTTCCAGGTTTAAGAATATGGATAGACCATATTCTGTGGTTTGTTGTCCCTTTGAAATATTTATATTAATTAGAAAATTAATTATTATGTTATTGATTTCTATTAAAATGTAAACACATTTCTGTTGACGTGCCACAGGTGCAAAATACAAAACAGTGAGATTTTACACATGAAGCCTGATTTTAATTTAAATAGTGTAGGGATAGCTTAAGATCATCGTCTTCGTCATATTATTATTATTATTACTAGTAGTAGTAGTAGTAATAGTAAATGAAATGAAATGGGGTTTAACGTCCCACTGTTCTGCTCCTAACCTGGGCTAATGAAGACGGGCATACGCCATATAGTGTGCTATGAGGGAAATTTTGCCCAGGCAGCGGCGCTACGGCCTACTCTTATATCGAATTCCAACTGCCAAGGGATCTTTTACGTGCACGCCAATGTGTACACGGGACCTCGGTTTTTCGTCCCATCCGAATGACTAGACAGCTGTCCTTGTCAGGCCCTCCGTCCTGCATCACTGACAAGGGGGAACCACGCCGGAAAATCTGGATGAACTTTCTCGGCCAATGCGGGGATCGAACACCCGACCTTCAGGCTAGCGAGCCAGCGCCTTAACCACTTAGCCAAGTAGTAATAGTAGTAATATAGTAGCAGTATCTCCTGGTCTAGGTCTAGAGAACAGGATATCAGTAATAAAAACGTTTGACTTGAGCCGGTGGTTCGCCTTGGTCCAGTACCTGGTTACGCTCGGTTTCGGGTGCATGACACAAGAATTAAACCCAGCCGTTATGTATCTATTTCGTTCTCTGTTTTCACATGGAATCTATTTTATATTTTCAGCATCTGTACTGATTTTGGCGGCTGTTGTGGTCGGGTTGGTTGTATTTCAAAGCCGCACTAACTTCCAAGGCCATATATTGTCGCAGATACATTCAAGTGGATTTTCCGCCGTCGGGAAACAGCGGTTTAATAAATTCACTAACAATGAACCAAAGTTAACAAAATGGAAAGAAAATAACTCCCAAGCAACTGGGAAAGCTGTCCAATCCCCAAGTCCGACATCTATTCGTCGTGTGGTTGGTATTACAAACATAGTAATAAATAAGCTTGCGTCCAAGAATAAAAAGACTACAACTACGACCAAAGTAACACCTATTGGCACATCTGTTACGTCGAACACTAAAAACACTAAACCTAGTGTTACACCTACTAGGATTGTTAAACACACGGCGACAATTGCACACAGCGTTAGAACGAGTTCACATGCTAACGTTAAAAAGAAAACGTATGTTTGTAAGCAAAATAGTGCTGGTCTTGGAAACAAAATATATATGTTTGCCGCTTCCTACGGAACCGCAAGACGGAAAAATATGGCGTTAGTGATGAAAAACGATGCAACGTTGAGGGCAACTTTTAACATAGAGGGAGCCTATAATACAAATTGGACCTTGTGCAAGAACGCTACAACCATTAGTGAACCTTCATGTTGTCGTGCGTGGCCAAATATTTATAACGTTTCAAACGAAAAGACAGTTATATTGGGTGGATACCTTCAAAGTTATAAATATTTTGATGACCACAGGGACGAAGTCCGTAGATATTTGATATTTAGAAATAACGTCCTAAACGAAGCAAATAATAAATTAAACGATCTATTTAAAAAGCGATATCCCGGTCAAAATAAAGAGAAGCGGACTTTAATAGGTGTACATATTCGACGTGGGGACTATTTATCATCCAATAGTATAAAGTTTGGTTACGTCACGGCACCAAAGGAATACATTTTCCGTGCGCAGAAATACATGGAGACTCAATATTCTAATATAACTTACTTTGTTTGCTCAAATGACCTCGCGTGGACAAATGATGTGTTCAAAGGTCAAACAGACGCTATTATAGTTCCTATAGGACCAGCTCACGTGGATCTTGCTCTTCTCTCGCTCATGGATCACATGATCATGACTGTTGGAACATATGGATTCTGGGCGTCGTGGTTTGTGAATGGTACGACTATTTACCTTAGAGAGTTTGCTAAACCTGGTTCGGTATACAGTAAACTATTTGATAAAGACCATTTCGATACCATCCCTGCATCTTGGATTGGTTTATAATTATACAGTCGCTCGTGGTTGCTTTGAGGGTTGAGTATAACTATAGTTTTCCTGGGGGTTGTTTTCCGGAATCTTCCCCCTGATGTGTGTATGTCATTCTATTTAGTAGTGATATTCCACGGAGACCTAAGACGTTACGGGGGGGGGGGGGGCGAATGGTTAGCACGTGCGCGCTGTATCATACGGTCTGCCATTGAGTCAACTGGCGTGGTTTCGATTCCCCGGTTGTACGTGACAAGGAGTAGCGTCTCCTGTTCAACCTCCGGTTTCCTCCCACTGCTAAAGACCCCTACGCGCAAGCGAATTATTGAAATAAAATTGAACCATTCGTTAGTCCCGAAATGACCTAGTTTGTGTCGAGTGGACGTTAACCCCCTCTCTCTCTCTATCTCTCTCTCTCTCTCTCTTTCGCTCTCTCTCTCTCTCTCCCATAAGACGTTACCAAATGTTACAGCGATTCTATATACTCTTAAGGTCAAGGACGTGCATAGAACTAATGTGAATGAACTGCAGACTAACATAAATCATTCTGAGACTAACATATAATTGTTATATTTTACTCTCGTTACCTGTCAAACGGGATGTTTTTGCTTACCCCTTTTCATACTCACAAACCTCTTAGATGTGAAGCTCACCATATTACCCACTCCCGGATAGAAATTAGAAAAAAATATTCTTCATTTCCATGTACAAAATCCAACAACGATATAAGGATCCGGTATTTCCCTTGGTCTCATTTTACAAAGGGCGTGTAAGTCTTCTTGTATCTGTACCTACCCTTATGAAGCAGGTCCCATATCAGGAATATAAGGGTTATCTTCCCCTGCGATCTTTCACGAATACATTTGGTTAGTCTAAAAATGAAATGTAAAATGTAAAACATGTCGACGGCTGAATCATGATATTAATGCGGGTCCAAATGGGCTGATTGTAATTGATCAATAAAATGAATACAAACTCCGTTCATTTGTATTTTTTTTACATTTATTATTATACATCATAAGTTCATGTACAACTGCCAGATTCGGTAAAAACGGAAAAAATGGAAGTCAATAACTTTCATTCGTAATTTCTTCTTTACCTCATTCAGAAAGCCAAAGCCGAAATAAACAGACCACGATATTAGATCTTGTTTTGTCGTGACTTCTACATTTCGAGTTACACGTTTGCTTGACGTAGCACGATGTTATATTTTTGTATTTTATTCAAGTTAGTAAGAAGTCAACACGCACATCAAGCAAAAATACATTTTGAACAGTAGAAATTGGGAAAGTAACACATCGCGATATTAGCGATCTCTACTTTTTGACTTTCGCGTTTTGAATGACCGAAAAGTAAAAATTACGAATGGTAGGCCTATCTATATGCTTCCATGGAAAAGTTTTGCCACCCCGCCTAAGCTACACTGCAGAGTACATAACGTATCAAAACAGAAGATAAAAATCTATTTTATTCATCAATCAAATGCTTTATTCGAGGGGTTTGAAGCTTTGAAGAGGTATTATATAACATTATCAGATATTAAATAAATGAAATTAATTTCAATCTGTTCTAGTGTTCAACTACCAATATTATGGAATAAACTATCTTTAGTATAAGAACACCCATTGGACTAATAACAGCTGAATATTGTAGTCGAAGACAATACAGTTTTGACTAGAGTGATCAGAACTGCTGAAGTGATGTTTCTGGTGGTTGTAGCTTATTCAAACACCAACGACGAAAACTCAGATAAAAAGTTAAAATTGTACTTTTAATAAACGATTGTCCAAAACTGGCTAACGGTCACAATAACTAGATAGGTATCGCTAGGGCGAGCCGGTCACCAGACTAAAGTTACAGTAGAATATAGAACATATATATGTTACAGTCAATGTCTACAATCGGGCAATGTGTACAATGCCTGAAATAACCAGTCAATGTGTACATTGTCTAATGATGCCAGTCATTGTGTACATTGCCTAAAATTTCCAGGCATTGTGTACATTGCCTGATTTATTAGCCCAATTATTGTACACTTTGACTGATTGTTGAAGAGCGATTATTGAGAAGACTAGATTACCACAGGTTTTGTTCTGTGATCACATAGGCTCCATTTCATATAAAAGATACTTTAATAGGTTTGTCACTAGAGTTGTTGTTTTTAACTAAATAAATGACAAATATCATACACACTTTGAAGGATGAATTGACTTTATTTCACACAGTATGAAAATACATGAATTTCTGATTTCCCGATAGAATACATGTGAAATACTCAAATACTCAGACAAATGGTAACATGTACATGTCCACTTGATTACAACCATGATATAAGTGGCATTGAAATATGTCAACAATTTTTGTTTTGACAATTGATGCTGTTGTGGCATCTGCTGTTACATAACAAACCCAACTTGTAACATTTTCACTTATTTGTGGCACACTGTTTCCCACTTTTAGAACAGTTACACCTCGTATAACCTTGGCCTCCGCATTTTGATTCTGTTTGAACTGCTTGTCTAAGTCCAATATTATATAGTAATATTTGATCAGAGATGTTAAATTGTAAATAGGAAACAGATGTTTAAATACAGAAGAAGATATGGGCATAGCAAGAAGCGTGTTAACTATAAATACGTAATATATATCGTTATATTAAGTATAAACCCAAACAGTTAAAAGACTTGAAAGATTAGTCAGATATCAATTCAGACATTGGTCAATTGCTATTTTGACTAAAATTAAATAGTAATAAAATATATAGAAAGACACACTATAACAACACCCGTCTTCCCGAAAAGCGCTTTTCTCCGTAAAAGCAAACAATAAATCACACACAGTAGGGTGTTTAAATTGATTATAGACTAATTCAATTAATATGATAAAACTTACAAAATATGGTAGACTAAACATAACACTAAGGAATGAACAATTTAAATTTTGAAGACAACAAATTACCCATTCTATTTTATAAAATGGTGAACTTAATAAGTACATATAAATAAAATATTAATGCAACACTTCATGAAATCCCAATGGGCAGGACATAATGACAGAGATATAACAGGGCTAAATTCACATAATGAACCTGTAGTTCATTCTAACATCAATACAGTATGAAATGAGGGGAATAAATCATGTTGAATAAACTTAACAGAACGATCCATTTCAAAAAGATAAAAGTGACACTGAATGGTCTTCCTGTGGATGAAAAAATAAATAATGTGATGTGATAAGTCTGGGTTGAAGAACAAGTGTAGCTATCACTGGAACTTTCTAGCACTTATACACATTGCTGTGTAGATGAGAGACCAATCATATCTCATTAACAATTTCATTCATCGTATTTCCCTAATAGATCGAAGTTAACTTTTAGTGAAATATTTCTTCTTTTTGTGTCGTCTCAAGCCATTTGGTTTGTAATTATTATTGAAATTCCTACGGTGGATTTCGTCAATATTTTCTTCTGGTTCCCAAGTTTTAGATGTATCATTCCATATTATTTGGTACTGAACTTTATCCCTATATTTTCGTTTTCTTAGAATTCTAATAAAGTTATATGCCCTGTCTGTATCAAAATTTATGCTCTTAGTCCATCGATTTACATCTTTATTTCGGTCTTTGAATATATTGTATCGTATTTTTGAGCTACTTCTTATAGTACCGCACGCCAAATGATAAACAACCGTAGTGATACAAATGCTTAAACTAATACATGTATATGAAGGTCTATTAGCTTTAATTTTGTCCAACAGGTCTATAAGCCAATCCACGATTCCGGAAAGGTATCTTCAAAGCCTTTACCAAAACTTTTACTAAATTCTGATCCTGGTCTAGTGAAACCTTTATAATAGGTCACAGTCCCGTTTACCATCCATGATGCCCAGAACCCGTATGTTCCAACGGTCATGATCATGTGATCCATGAGCGAGAGTAGCGCGAGATCAACGTGCGCGGGACCCATGGGAACCGTAATGACATCACGTTGGTTTTTGAATACTTTATTTGTCCAAGCGAGGTCATTTGAGCAAACGACATAGGTTATATTAGAATATTTTTTCTGCATGTACTCCTGTGCCGCGTAAAGATATTCCTTTGAGGCCACTTTGTACCCGTATTTTATTTTAGGGGCGTTTAAGTAATCACCGCGGCGAATATGAACACCTATGAACGTTCTGTTTTCGACGACATGTCCTTGATACGGCTGTGATAAAAGTTTTCGAAGTTTATCCTTTGCCTCGTCTAAAACACTGTCCTTGAATTTCAAATATTTACGGACTTCTGCTGTGTGTTGATAAAAGTATTTATAACTCTGCATATACCCTTTAACTAAAACAGTCTCACCCGTTGAAACATTGTAAATATTTTTCGACACGCGGCAACACGCTTCTTCATGAATGACTGGGGCCTTTGTACACTTTTCCCAATCGGTTTCATAAGCTCCATCTATATTGAACGCTTTCTTTAAATGAGCGTCATTATTCATAATAAGTTTTACACCGTGTCGTCTCGCTGTTCCGTACATAGACGCGAAGATATACATTTCGTTTCCCAGGCCCCCTTCCGGGGTACCACAGATATATTTTTGGGAAGGGTTTAAATTAGAAAAAGATTTTTGTAGTTGTGATTTTGTTTGAACATCATTTACGGTTGTTTTTTCATCCTTTACGCGAGTTTGAACATCATTTACGCTGGCTTTAACATCATTTACGTGAGTTTGAACATCATTTACGATGGTTTTAACATCATCTACGATGGTTTTAACATCATTTACCTTACTTTTAAGGTTTATTATATTGGTTGCACTCCTTATTTTCACACCTTTCGCGACACTTTCTTTCTTCAACACTTGATTCTGTAATACTCCTTGATCTTTTCCAATTTCACGACTAAATTCGTGGATATTATTTAGGTTTATTGACGCCCCGTTCCAAAACATTATGTGGTACAATAATACCAGAACTAAGAGTACCAGCATAGAAACTGAAAAAAATAGAATGATATATAAAAAAGACGTTTTAAACATTATGGTAAAACATTATGACAGAAGTTTTAAAAATTAATGTAAATCTAAGTCGCCGGCACAGGCGGAGATGCATAAAGAGGCAAAGAACCAATCTGTTTAAAACACAGACCCTATTTCATTTCGTTTTTTTTTATAGTTCAAAATTTCGTTTTACATGTCCTCGCAACACTAGAATCTGGAAAAGTTGTTATATAGCTGGCCTTTCAGTTGATGTGAGGAATTAGCCAATGAAACGGTCTGTTACGGCGAGTTCTTGGCGTGCTCTGCACGGAACTGTGAGTAAACCCCTAGAAACGTCATAGGGTGAAAAACCACTCGTATGACCCCTGACGCGATCTCCCAGTACAACTGATCAGATCTTCAAATAGTGAAGGCCATCAAAAGTATTCAAAAAACGAAACGATATATAGATCTGTATTTTAATCAGATTGGAAAAGAACCACAGAATTATGCGAAACTACCCACTAAATTGTGTTTTGTCTTCCCGCATGCACCGACGTGAAGCGCCCTCTTATAAAAAAAGAGTTAAATCCATTCTGTCATTCACAGTAAAGACTATTTACCCCGTTGGGATAGATATTTCTTTGGCTTTATTTTTATAAAATTGCTTTCCGTGCTGCGGTGGCAATACTGCTTTCGCAATGGAGTGGCATATATTTGTTCCCGGTTTCCTTTCTGATAACAATTGAACATATTTTCGTTGTTTTATTATTTGACTATCCTAACATTATATTTGAAAAATTGGAAAAGCTTAGATCATTTCGTTTAAACTAAAAGAAAAATAAGCAACCGAGATGTATACCGATTCGTTTCAGTTGAAATCAAAATAACAATGAGTGGTGTGTTTGAGGAAGTTTATATCAGTATGTTGTTTCAAAACATCTTACCACTCAGTTTGAAATGTCTACTTTCTATTGCTTTGTTTTGTCAAGTCTATCATGGTC